ACACCTCATTTTCTGCCTTTCTTTCCTGTTCATTTCATTCCTAGAGGTCCATGTAAGCTCTCACAGGGAGGACTGTCAGAAGCTCATCAGTGTCTGGTCTGGTGATCAGCATCTGAGCAGCATCTCTCAGTGAAACAGCTTATGGAAAAATAGACATTCTGATTCCATAGAGGGTGCTAAAAGAGTGAGAGAATTATTATTATACTAGTATATTAGTATCTAATTATTCACTGTGATCCACCTTTTTTCCTTCAATTTTTCTGTAAAGGTCCAACTCCAGTTAAGGTCAGTCAGTCTCTGAAAGGCATAGCAGATTGATGGGACTGCTCCTAGTCATCAAGGCACATGTTTAACAGTTTTGTAGGGTCAGGACTCCACCCAACTTTGGCAGGACCCCATCCAACCAGGAGACCTAATTTCTGTTTAAAGTATAAATAAAATCCAGTCTGGGTGAGCCCTTACCCTGAGAGAAGAAATCCCTTCCTTGGTTCCTTCCATTGGAGATGGCTTCCCTCTGCCCAGATTGCTGGAGGTGACTGAGTCTCATGATCAAACCAGTTCTCAGTAGGAGGAGCTGAACACTTTTAGCCCACCTCCTCATTAAATGTCCACCAATCAAGGTTGATTTTCCCTTGTCAGGGGAATTCCCTTTCAGAAGATATTTAAGATGTTTCAGGGTCTCCCTTGGAATCTTCGGCTATGGCGAGAAACCACTAACCATCAATGTATTGATTGCTGGCTAGCATAACTAATAAACTGATTATTAATTACCCAGGAATTCATCACCAATAGGAGGGTTATTGTGTTTATGCCCTACTCAAAGAGATATGACAGGATTGGCAAAGGCATCAGGTGGCTGGAGGAGAGCTAAGGGGAATGGGTTTCACTGTAGCCCTGGGACCCTGAGAGGTGGGAGAAGCAAGAATGAAGAAGAGTCAAGTCTTCCTACCTACTTCCTCAAGACCCCTCATATCCAATCAGTCACTAAGTCTGGTCTATTCTACCTCCATAACACCTGTCATGCATGGTCCCCATCTGTCTACTCACCAGGCCACCACCCTAGTTCACACCCTCACCAACTCTAGATCAGACTTGCTCCATTATCTTCCTAATAAGTCTTCCTGCCTCATTTCTGCCCCCTCTAACTCATCCTTCCCATAACTGCCAAACTGATATTCCAGAAGCACAAAGCCTTACTAACTCACTCAAGAAGCTTCAATGGCTCCCTCTTACATCCAGGATGAACTACAAACTATGTATGACACTGAGCCCTTCATGAGTGAGTTCCAACCTGTCTAGACTGCTTTCACCTGACTAAGCCTCAAGCCCTTGACCTTCCAGCTAAACCATCCCATTTAACATTCCCCATATAGAACCCTCTATCTCCCTGCTCTCTGTATTTTCACTGGCTATCTCTTCCCAGTCCCTCCTCAACTCTGCCTCTTCAAGTCCCTGGATCCCTTCAAGGCTTAGCTCAAGCACCACTTCTAAGAGGCTTTTACTAACTTATTCTCTCAGTTGTTAGTAAATACTTAGTATTTACTTTGTGGGGCAGCTAGGTGGTACGGTGGATTGAGCACTGGTCTTAGAATCAGGGAGACTCATCTTCCTGAGTTCAAGTCTGGCCTCAGACAATTACTAGCTGTGTGACCCTGGACAAGTCACTTCACCCTGTTTGCCTCAGTTCCTCATCTATAAAATGAGCTGGAGGAGGAAATGGCAAACCATTCCAGCTCATTTAGTATCTCTGCCAAGAAAACCCCAATGGGACCAGGAAGAGTCAAACACAAATGAACAACAACAAATGTACTTTGTATGTATTTTGCATTTAATTATCTGTATTTATTTGCATGTAATTATCTGTATACCTGCTGCTTCCCCAGTAGAATGTAAGCTCCTTAACAGTTTCAGTTTTGGCTTGGTATCTCCAGGACCTGTCATAGTGCATGGCACATAGGAAGCACTTAATAAATGCTAGTTAACTGAATAAGAGATGAAGGAGCAGTGGAGATCAGCACATCATAGGCACTTAATAAATGCTAAGCAGCACAGTAGATAGAGCACCGTGATTGGAGTAAGGAAACACTGAGTTAAAATCTGGCCTCAGATACCTACTATCTGTGTGACCCTGGGCAAGTCACTTAACTAAAGCCTCATTTTTCTCATCTAGAAAATGAGCTGAAGAAGCAAACAGCAACCCACTCCAGCATTTTGTGCCAAGAAAATCCCAAAAAAGCTTTCATGAAGAGAGACACGACTAAAAACAGCTAAACAACAAAAGTTAAACTGAATTGAATAAGAGATGGAGGGGCAGTGGAGGTCAATTTAACTGGATGGCCCTGATTTCACCGCTTCACCATTTCACCTAGGCCAATTATCCCCACAGTGAGGAAGGAAATAAAATCACAGCCTTTTAGAGCTGGAAGGGCCCTTTGAGATGATCTAGCTCAGAAGTGCCATAGATGCCTTTGGCAGTCTGGTGAAGTCTATGGACCCCTTCTTAGAAGAAGTTTTTTAGTTCACAATTTAAAGAAATGCTAAATTTTAGTTTTTTGTTTTTGTTTTTGTTTTTGTTTTTGTTTTGCAAGGCAATTGGGGTTAAGTGATTTGCCTAGGGTCGCACAGCTAATAAGTGTCAAGTGTTTGGTCTGATACGCATTTGAACTCAGATCCTCCTGACTCTGGTATGCAATCCACTGCGCCACCTAGCTGCCCCTAAATTTTAGTTAAAGGTTTATGAAAATATATAATTTTCCCCATTCAAGTTTAAAGACACACCCCCTCTAAAAATCTCTCTGCAGACCTCCTGTACTTTAAAATTAAGACCTCTCAGCACTACAGCTACTCATAATAGCCATGTCAGATGGGCAGAGCTGGGTTCTAGGATGGCATGAGGTACACTGCAGACATTAGCAGGGGAGAAACAGTAGGTTCAATGAGCATGAACCCACTCTTCCCACCCTGCCCTACCTTCCTAATGATCCCAGAATCCTGTTTGGCAGGGCCGGTTCTGGTCCCTGCCTCCATGCTCCTGATGTTGGCTCTGCTGTGGTCAGACTGAGAAGGTACTGTGATGGCCAAGGCCTTAGCCTGTGGGGAGGCTGAGGTAGACAGAGCCTTTGTAACTAGGAGTTTGAACACATAATGCTAACTGTGCCCAGCCCAAGCAGCATGAAGCATATTCTTATTTGGGGGAGGCAGGGTGGGAGCTCTGATCAGGAAAGTGGGACACCCTCAAATGAGTGGTAGAAAAAGACTCTATAATTGCAGAATCAGAATCTTAGGGTTGGAAAGAAGCCCAAAGTCATTGAGTTCTGAAAAGAAATCCCCACTATAATATATCTGACAAGTGATTATCTAGCTTCTGCATAAGGGCTTCAAATGGGAGATCCATGACCCAATCCAATAAGCACTTATTAAGCGCCTACAACATGCCAGGCACTGTACCAAACACATTGTTCCCAGTGCAGCTCATTCCATCTTTGGATCACTCCAATGGTTAGAAAGTTTATGTTTTGCTTTGTTTTTTGGACATCAAGCCTAAATAGGCCTCCATGTAAATGTCCAACCACCATACCTAGTTCTGTGCTCTGGGGACTATGGCACACACAAACACACACACACACACACACACACACAAACACACAAGGTTTCTCCCTTATCATCAAAATCACATTTTCTGTTCTGGTTGCTGCTTCTCACATCATATAGCTAAGAGAAACATGTGCCCATCCACCTGTTCATCCTAAGCACAAATACCTAGGATATGTTAAGGAGAAGAAAATACAAAGGAAATGCTGCTGAGTTGTAATTATTACTTCTGCAGTCTTAGATTTGTGAGGGTGTCTGGGATGGGAGGAAACCCAGAGGACAATTGAATTGGGCTACAGGAGCTCCAGTGGAAGGCTGCCCTAAACCCATTCCACACCTACGGCCAGTCTTATGCAAAGTGTCTCTGTTATTCTCTCAGGGAATTTAAAGAAAAAAGAAAAAAAAAAGCAGCTCTCTACTCTTCAGGCTACACTGTCACATCCCTCTCCCAACCCTGATAATCGGTGAGACATAAGCTCATGGATACAGGATACCAGCACAAGACCACCATATTCAGCACAGGGAACAGGAAGGACAAAGGAAAAACTCATCTCAACCCTTCTTGTATCTTCCTATTTAACTAATTTTTCTTGCCAAATTGGTGCTAAGCTCTGTTGTTTCTAATCTGATGATGGATTATAAGTGCTATCAGCACACTCTAAATGTTGGTATCGTGGGGAAAGTCCCATCTGCCCCACCCTAGTTACATATCTGGGCATTGTGGTAGGCTCTGAACAGAAGATAGTTCTTTTCTCAGCTCTGACACTAACTAGTTGTGTGACTTTAGGCAAGTCAATACATCTGACTGGGGCCTCAGTTCCCTCATTTGTAAAATACAGATAATAATGTCTTCTTTTAACTTCACAAGCAGCTGGATGGTACAGTAGATAGAGTACTGGGCCTGGAGTCAGGAAGACCCATCTTCCTAAGTTCAAGTCTGGCCTCAAACATTTACTGTGTGACCCTGCGCAAGTTACTTAATCCTGTTTGCCTTAGTTTCCTCATCTGTAAAATGGTCTGGAGAAGGAAAGGGCAAGCACTCCAGTTTTTTTGCAAAAGAAAAAAACAACAACAACAACAACACTCCAAATAGGGTCTTGAAGAGACAGACACAACTGAAATGACTGAACAAAATTCACTTCACAGGGTTATTAGGAGATAATCAGTAAATATTTATTAAGCTACATGCTATATGCTAGGCACTGTGCTAAAGGCTAGATATGTATATAATGTAAATAATAATGTATATAAAGTGCTATATTGCAGATGAGTTGTTATATAGGGTACAAATGGTCCAGCTGACTCTGTAACCAAGCCTGAGAAGTTCAGCCTTGTGAAACCCCTCCACAGCGCACAGTTGTGTCTGAAGCAGCATAAACTGGTGTGCTTGTGTGTGTCTCTCCTCCCAGGGATGCCACCTATCTCCAAAATGGCCCTGAAGAGCTCCTTCACCTGCTGGAATGGCACAACCATCCACCTGGGCCAGGCTTGCAACTTTCAGAGAGACTGCTCTGAGGGCGAAGACGAGGGAGAATTATGCGGTGAGTAAAGAAGGGGAGGGGGCTGCTCTGGGTTCTTCTTCTCACCCTCCTCCAGTCTCCCTCACTCCTAATCACAGCTTTCCCCCTTTGTCCCATGCTACCTGTCTGAACTTGAGCAAAGTGCCTCTCTTGGCCTGAGTCACCTCATCTATAATAGAATATCTCTAACTGGATGTTCGCTAAGCCTCCATTTGCTAGAAATTAGAGCTCTTATTTCTAGCAAATCCTGACTCTGCTACTTTCTGGGTCACTGACTGCTTTTCTGTAAAATGTGGGAGGTAGAGCTTCAGGGATGGGGCACCTGCGGCCTCAAGGTCACATGTGGCCTTCTAGGTCCTTGGGTGCAGCCTTTCAACTGAGTCTAAGCTTCACAGAACAAATCCTTTCCTTAAGGTCACAGGTTCCCCACGCCTGAGCTAGGGGATCGCTAAGGTTATTTTTAGTCAAATGTCTGTGATCCTATAACTTAGTCCTCTCCAAAGCAGAGGCCAGGCCTCCTGGGATACCAGCCAGTCAGAGAGGAGGAAAATGGGCTGCCATCCCACCCTCCCATTGATAGTCAGAGAGCTTATCTCCAATACAGCCAGGCCTAATCTTCACTCATCAGAGCCCAATAATCTCCTACTCCCCAGCTTCCAAACCCCAACTTCTGAGCCTGGAATAAGCCCCTCAGCTCAATTATAACCTGACCGCAGCTCAGGCACCTACGGCAGCAGCTGTGGAATTACCTTTGGGAAAATCCACTCCCCTCCCTTACCTCACCTCCAGCATATGCACCAGGGGGAAAAGATCATGAAAATAGATATAAAATAAAAAATAAAAAAAGAATACCATAAAAAAGATCATTGATAGGGGTGCATGATCAAAAAAGATGGAGATCATTGCTATCAATCACAGAAAAGACAGTACACTGAACCCTTTGGAAAGTTTCCACATACAGTAGCTTAAAGAAATAAGGTGTTTTGTGCCTTCCATCCTCTCAGGAAGCCACTTACTTACCAAAAGTCTCACAGCTAATCGGTGGCAACACCTACCTCATTGAGAGGGTGGAACGAGACAATGTATGAAAAGCATTTTGTAAACCTTAATGTACTCTATAGAAGTCAGCAAGTGTCCTTACTATTATTGTGACTAGTGTCAAGAACAAATAAAGATTGGTCACAGACTTAATAGATTTTGCAATAGAAGCAGTGGTGTGTTGGAGCTGGCTCAAAAGAGCTCCTGAGAACTGATTGTTAAATTTTCATTGTGAGCATTTACACCTTAGAAATCAGCAAACACTACAAATCAGGGCTTGATTTCTTGTTTTGATGATTGTTTAGATTGAGGAAAATGATAAGAGAAAATGTTAACCCAGATTAAATTTTAAAATGTGTCCTGCATCCTTTTTTTTTTTCTGGAGAGATGGTTGTTAAACATTTACCAAAACACCCATCCCTGGTGAGAAGGAACCTGGGGGCTACCTGGTCCAGCCTCCTCACTTCACAGGTGAAGAAATGAAAGCTCAAGGGCATTAAGCGAATTGTCCAAGGTCACACAGGTGATAAGTGTCAGAGACAAGATTTGAACCTGAAATCCTTGACTCCATATCGACTTCTCTTTCCTCTATACCACACTCTCTTTAAAACTACAGAAAAATTCTTTTTACTACAGTGTGAATGTATTTCTTTTTGCCAAGTCTGGCTTCTCTACTCCCTAAACCCACCTTATATTTACTTTGTATACATTTTCTCTTTGAGAGACAAAATAGCACAGCGAATACGAAGCCAACTTCAGAATCCAAAAGAACTTAGGTTTGAATACTACCTCTTATGAACACCAAATAACCCTAGGCAGATTGTTTAATCTCTCAGTGCCCCAGGCATCTTCCCAAGACTATAAAGCTACAACATGTTTGATGATCTCTGCATTGGTCAGTGAAGTTTGCTCACCAGGAATTTAAATCACAGGTTAGGGGAAATTTTTTTTTTGTGTTTATTTTTATTATTTGTTCATTCCGTTTCTCCCAGTAGACTGCAAACTAGTTGAGGACAGGAACTCTTTGATTTTTGTCCTCTAACCACTCACTATCTTGTCCTTGTGACCTTCTCAAGGTCACAACCTCTGTTTCCATTTCCTCATCTGTAAAATGAAAAGGGTGGAACTAGGTGACCTTGAAGGGCCCTTCCAACTCTAAAGCAAGGATTCTGTAATCCTAAATACTTCTTGGATCAGTGGAAAGAGTTCTGGATTGGAAGTCACAGGGACTGGGTTTGGATCCTGGCTCTGCTTCTTATGACCTTGCACGACCTTGGGCAAGTCATTTCTCTTCCCTGAGCTTCAGTTTGTTCATCTCTAAAAAGAAGGGTTGGGCTAGATGGTCTCTGATGCCCTGTCCAACTCTAAATCAATAATTCTGTGATGATTTTCCATACCTCTGCTAACAGTAACCCAGAACAGAGCAATAATATTCCATCTGCTTTGGCCCAGGACACCACAGCTCATTTATGATGGACAGCCTTACCTCCAAAGTCCTGATTTTGCCTTTACCCCAACCCGTGATGATCTAAGCTGATCACCAATTTCTGCTCTGCATCTGGTTCATTTTGGTAGAATAGACAGATACTCATAGTCTGGGCCAAATTTCCATGAGGCAGCTCTTAGAAGAGAGAGGACTACCATTCTCTACCAGTCTAACCAATCATCGGGTTCCCATTGAAAGAAGCCCATTATTTATTTGTTTGTTTTTAAAAGGAGCCAAATGAGAATTCTCCTTTGTCATTCAGAAATAAGCTCATTTTTAAACAAAATTTGGAAGCCAGGCTTTTACATTATGACATTGTTCTTAATTTAAAACATTTAATAGAGACTGAATTGCTAGAAGTCTTCACCACTGCTGCCTGGAAGTTCCAGTTCACTGCCTTCCGAATAGAGTTCCTACAGCTTAGGTTACTGTGCTCATCCGCTCTAATAAAATGAAGACAGACACTGTCACCCAGTGGGGGGGGAGGGGGAGGGGGGGCGAGGAGGATTGTGTATGTATTTATCCATGCAGCATTCTCAGAAGCCTCTCTTAATGGTGTCATGAAGCTTTGCATTTGGAAAGCTCGGGCATCTGTTGGTGTTGCTTCTTCCTCACCATCCACCCCACTGGCAAGTAGGTCAAGTTTGTCATGTCTTGTTACAGATGGAAAAACCAAGGCACAGAGGAGGTAATTGATTTTTGCCCCAGGTCACACAGCAAGTCAGGGACAGAATCGTGAGAAGTCTGAGCCTGCTGGTGTCAGCCTATTACCGAGTGCCCCGTGAGCTTTCTCCCAACTCGGATACAGGGATGAGCACAAGGTAGTCTCTCTGTAGGCATTGAGAGTGAAAGCCCAGTGTCATGCTGGCTTATTCAGCCACACTGTTTCTTATCAACGAGATGACATCTCTTTTCCAAAAAAACACTCAGCTGCGTAAAACAGGGACTAGGTCAGAAGTTGTAGCAAAACAGAAAAGTAGAAAAGTATCAAGAAAGAGCCAGCATGAACATTGTTTCACTATCAACTCTTTGATCTGAAAGTCTAGCAAAATACATACACACGCGCGCATACACACACACACACACACACACACACACACACACACACACACACACA